AAAAAAAAAAAAAAAAAAGAAAGAAAGAAAGAAAGAAAGAAAGAAAGAAAGAAATATGACAGGGACATAGACTGGAAGTGGCCAGGAAGCAGGGCAGGGAAGGGTATGGGGAGTGGAAAATGCCAGCCTGGGAAGCAGCCGTTGGGGCTCACTCCAGGAGCTGGAGCTAGCCTTTAAGAATCCGTGGAGGCTGGGCATGGTGGCTCATGCCTGTAACCCCAGCACTTTGGGAGGCTGAGGCAGGCAGATCACAAGGTCAGGATATTTAGACCATCCTGGCCAACATTGTGAAACCCTGTCTCTACTAAAAATAAAAATAAAAAAAAAATCAACTGGGCATGGTGGCGTGCGCCTGTAGTCCCAGCTATTTGGGAGGCTGAGGCAAGGGAACTGCTTGAACACAAGCAGCAGAGGTTGCAGTGAGCCAAGATCGCACCACTGCACTCCAGCTGGGTGACAGAGCAAGACTCTGTCTCAAAAAACAAAACAAAAAAGAATCCCTGTGGATATCCCCGTCCCACATTCCAAGTTCTAAATATTTCATTTCCTCTCTCTACCTGTACTTAAGAAAATATGTTTCCGCAGCTTCCCTTGATGCTCTTCCTACTCCAGTCTTTTCTTCCACTCTTCCCTGTTCAAAAGTTCTTCCTCAGTTGTAACCTTCTTTCTTCAGCCTGTGGATAATCCCTCTAAGAGCTCTCTAAGGCAGGTGCTAAGGGAACTTAAGACAGGGCTTCAGTTATTAAATATAAATAGACAGGGGAGGGGAACTGAATATAGACACAGATATTTTATCTCTCCGTCCCTGTGAATTATTAGGAAGAAAGCGCCAGTGGTTGCTAAGCAACAGGTCTCCATAGAGGACTAGGCACCAGAGGAAAAAGCCCCTTTGACTGAATATTGGGGTGGGAGGGTAGGGAAGGTGGGGGTCAAAGGCCTTTGGCTGGCAGGCCAGTTGTGGGGAATGGTTGGTTTGTCCTCCAAGACCAGCCCTTTCCCCAGGCCTTAGCAAACCTTCAGGACTGGTGGCAGGAGGAAGGCCTCAGGCACTCCTCCCTGCCAGGAGGAGGGAACCTGGTTTCCATAGCAACCCAGAAACAATCCTGGCCTTGTTTTGCTTATGACTTCTCTGTAACCCCTCTTGGAACACTCACTATCACAGACTCCCTTCTCTGACCCTCAACTTCTGATTTGAGGGACAGAGCCCATAGAAAGGTTGGGGGGTAGTGCCACAAAAGCTGGTCTCACTTGGTCCTAACATGACCTATTAAGACTATAAAGGAGAGGTGACTTATAGGGCTAAGGGCCTCCAGGTATCCTCTGACCTCTGGATCTCATAAGGGATTGCAAAATGGGCTCAGGCTAGCTTTCTTAAGGGCGAGTACAGACTGGGGTTCAAGGGCAGGAGAGAATGAGAGGACAGGGGTTTTTGTGTGCCTTGGACACCCAGGCCCCCATCCTTCTCGACCTCAAGTCCACTGTCATCAAGAACCGGAAAATGGAGATATAGAACATTAACGTATGTCAAGTATAAGTGAGTGGCACCAAGGGGCATAATCTGTTTTTCTAATATGACCACAAGCAGAGCGTTAGAAGAATTAGGCCGACAGCTGCTGGTTTTTCCCCTTTCTCTCCCCCCTTCCTCACTCTCCCTCTCCCTTCCTCCTCGGCGTTTGCACACACCAATGGCAGCCGAGCCCTGCTCGCGATTTCTCTTAATCTTCCTCCGCCATCCTGCGCTCTTTCCGCAGGCGGTGCTGCGAAGCCGGCAGAGCCCCGCGTCACACCTTACTGCTCTCTGAGATTGCTCCACAGAGAGCTCAAGGAGATGGCAATTTGGCGCTGATGCCGGCTGGCAGCAGTTGGGAGAGTGGAAGGAGAAGAGAGAGGGAGGAGGGGAGGGGGAAAAAAAGTTGGCACGGATACCAAGTTTTTCCCTAGAGAGATATGGGGGGGGGGGGCGGCGGGAAGCAAGAGAAGAAGAGAGAAAATGACACAGAGAAATGGAAACGAGGAAAAAGAGACAGAGAGAGAATGAGAATGAATACTGACTTCTCTCAGACGTCTACATGTGGGTGTCTCTAGCCCACCTGACTCATGGCCATCTAAAGATCACACCACCCAGCTGGGGTTCCCACTCACCCACTCCCTACCCTGCGTCGCTTACACACACACACACTCTCCCAGCCAACCTGGAAGTCAAGAGTGGTTCAGGCATGTTGTGTGTATTCGTGTGTGTGTGCGTGTATGTGTGTGTGTACGCCTGTATGTTGTCTCTGTTTTGGATCGCAGTAGAATGCAGTATGTAAATGAGATGGTTATTACCGCAATGTTCATCAAGCTGAGCCGAGAAGACATTAATAGCCTGATGAATATGCATGTGAATTTGTTAATTAAGTTAATTATTCTGCTGAAAATTCATTTGTCTTCCAAGGACATTTTCCCAATGATTTTTACATGCTAGTGCCATTAGTCATGCTCCATGCTAT